TGTGCATAAGGACAAGACAACAACAATCGTGCTAAGCAAGCTTCCTTTGATCGCTGAATGCTGGAATGACCTGGAGGTCTCATCATCATTCGCTGAAGCTAGAGCAGTCTTCACACATATGTAGACAGACTTGTAATCACTGAATACCGCTTCAGATCACGTACTTGCCAGTCTCTAATCTTCAGTTTCAGTCTTCGACGTTCGCTGAAGGATCCGTGGTGTGAGTGTTGTCTTCTTGAAATATTGCTGTCTCTGATGAATTTACAATACAAGTTCTYCAACGATCACTGAACATACTCAGTGATGATCGTTGGAACTAAAAATACAGAAACACAAATACAACGTGAAAGAAAAAAGAGATTATCATCAAATCACTGAGAGAGAGGATCAATAAAATATATATGATTTATGCATTTAAAAAAATCTTCACGTAAAATCATATTTTAAGGTTTACGGGTTGTGAGAGTACAAGTTGTTTTATTTAATTTAATAAAAACATGAAAAAGAGGTTAAAAAACAGTTCAAATATCGTCTCATTTTTATTAAAAATATCCCTTAATTTAAAAATCCCTTAATAGATATTACAAAAAAAAAGAAAAAAATACATAATAGTTGGATCGCCCCAGGGGGGCGATGGGATGACGTGGCTCGCCCCCGCGGGTGGATCGCCCCCTCCAGCCTGGATAGCCCCCAAGGGCGATTTGGGTGTCCATTTCTGCAAACTAGTTACAATTTGGTTATTTTCTTAATATGTAAGGTATAAATAGGTTAGTTTGGTGAATTTCCCTTAATTTCCTTGTCTTTTATCTTTCTTGGTATCAGCATCACCATAGTGGCGACAACTTAGTTATTTTCCTTAAAGTAAGTAAACTTTAAGTATATTTCTTCTTCAACTATGTTTTCTTTTTTTAATATGAGATAAACACCTCTTTGGGTGTGGGTGTGGGTGTGAGCCAAAGCTAGACTAGTAGAGTGTTGCCATTTTTATTAACTCTTAGACTTGGTCTTGAGTCAAAAATTTAACTCAAATGCAGACAAGTCGATCACTTGCAAGTGGTAGTATTGGATATTAGACCTAGAAATGGGCAGATCTGGAAATATATCTTGAGTGGTGCAAAAAGACTTGAGAAAGTCTTTTATAACCACATATAGATACATATTTTTGCTTGATTCTAACTAAGGTTCAAATATTGGTCAATATTGGTGTCACAAAGATATTTGGTTTATTTCCATACTGATAGAACTACGATTCTTAGAGGTCAACTTAGTTAAATCGACAAGTCCTTAGTTGGTAAAAGTGGTAACTTTGTGGGGACAAGTGGCTACTCTCTACAATAGTTAACTCTTGAGAGAAAGGGACTCTTATAGATGTTTCATGGCACATGTTTCTGACCATTATGTTGCTATAAATGTCTTAGAAAATACTTGCACCCATACCCTTTTCTTTTAACTTCTTGTTTCATTTTAATCATTAATTAGCACAACTTGAATCTCACAAATATCGATTATTCTCTCAAAAGTGAACTCTCACAGGGAGTGGACACCTGTCCTCACAAAGTTACCACTTTTACCAACTAAAGACTTGTCGATTTAACTAAGTTGATCTATACGATTTTCGTAGTTCTACTAGTATGTAAATAAGTGATCAAATCTCTTTGTGACACTAATATCGACTGCCATTTGAACCTTTGTTAGAATCATGCAGAAACCCATGTCTCTGTGTGGTTGCAAAAAAACTTTTTCAAATCATTTTGCATAACTCAAGATATATTTTTGGATCCGCCTATCTCTGGATCTAAGATCTAATATTAACACTTACAAGTGACTGTCATGTTCGCATTTGAGTTGAAGTCTCAACTCAAGTAACCAAGTCTAAGGGTTAGTAAAAATGGAAACACCAAGTGTTAGTCTACTATTCTTAGCTTTGGCTCAAATTCATACCAAAAAGGGTGTTTAGCTCATAGTGAAAAAAGAGAACATAATAATAGAAGAAAAATCTTCAAACTTTAGATATTGGGTTGAAATTGCATTAGAGCCATGTGAATCCAACCCAATTTGATGAACCCGATGCGTTTATATACCATGTATTTAATATGATTGTTAAGTGCTTAATTAATATATGTATACATTAGAGATTAGACCAACCTGCAATTAACTCGATTCAAAGTTACAATTCAACTGTAATTTTAAAATCTTACTGGGTGAATTTCATGAAAAACTAACGTACTTTAACTTGATTTATATTTTGGGTAACGTACTTTCAAAACTTCAATTTTGGTACCTAAGATGTAAAGTTTTAAACATTTAAGTACCCGAGTAACAGGTTGAAACATTAAGCGGTTACCATGTTAACGTAACAAATGATTTGGTATCCAACTCAGTATTAAGAAATCTATGTTGATATCACTCACCACATCAACATGGTAACCGATTAATGCTTCTACCCGAGTACGTAAATGTTTTTAACTTTACTTCTTTGGTACCAAAATGAAAGTTTTACTCAAAATAGAAATCAAAAGTTAAAGTACATTCATTTTTCATGCAATTTGCCTAATCTTATTTGCATGACTTTATCTTTGTTTTTTTTTTTTATAGAAAATCTCTTAATTACCTCTTATATCTTATTGAGTAATAGCTTGGGTTACGAGACTGCTTTTTGAGATGATGGACTTTAAAAGTTCTTACCGTCATGTGAATTATATTAACTTTGACCCACCCTTTATATAACTCTAACCACATTTAACCTATACTCTCCCTGGCTCCCCTCCCATTTCACGCCTCCCCTCAACATAATCCATCTCTGCCCTCCCTCAAGTCTCAATAGGTCAAGATGCTTCATGGGTGCTATTTGTGATTGTGAAATTGGAACTCAATCTCAAGCTTGATCTTAGAGTAGACTGTGAAACCGATACTCGACTTAGAGTCGGTCCTGAAGCCCAAACTCGATCTCAAACGCAATATTGTGTAACGATCTTAGAGTTGATCCTAGATGGGTTTCAAACAACGCAATATGGGTTTCCCACATCTGAGTTATCATGGTTAACTCTTATCAGATTGTTTTTGCTTTTCTCATTTGGAATATTGAAGATCCTTGTATTTATTTTTAAGCCTTCAAAACTTGAAAACCAACACCATAATTTTAGTTTTTAGGCCCTCCGATCAAAATAAAATATACTTTTCAACTCAAATGAATTTTTATTTCAAAGTTAAATTATTATTTATCACAAATCTAATTTGAATTTTTAAAAAATGAACAATGATATATTTGGTTAAAATGACTTGCTAATTTTATAATTTAGATGTAATTTTTGTAATAACATGAATAAATAACTGAAATTGTTGAAAATAGATTAAAATAGACCGTAGGTGTTGGTTTTTTATATATAAATTCAATTATGTAATATCATAGAGTAAATAGATAATTATAAGATATTTATCTATACTATATTATAAAACATTTGACAAAAACTATTAAAAAAACCACTTTTATGCATAAAATATTGCTTATTGATGCATATTACTTAAAATTAAGATCACAAGCAAATTGTATATAAGTACAACTTATTAAAGTTTCGTTTTGAATTTGTGTAACTAACTATAACAAAATCAAATACATAATAGACATCTCATTTTAAATACAAAAAATCTAAAATATAATTAGGATAATCATTAGTTTTAACAAAATACTTAATCATTATCTTATTAAAATTATATTATTAAACGATAAATAAATTACTTTATTATTAAATTTAAATTATATTATAAATAAAATATTGAATTAAAGAAATGACATAAAAAACAATAACTTTAAATAGTAAATTTGATATTTATATCGTTTTCTCAAAACCACTAAAACCGTATTATATCAACATAAATAAATAATAAAACAAATCATTAGAATTAAGATATATCTCGTTATATTATGCGAGCTCCCTTCTAGTAGTTTTTAAAAATCAAACAGTTTTATTAATTTTACTTTCAGACTTTTAACTTCTTTTTAAATTAACAAACTGATATCTTAACTTTATTTATGTATGCTTATTTTAATTTTGATTCGTATAAACACAGTCATTTAGTTAGATTGTAAAACGAGGTAAGTAAAGTTTTCGTGCTACCGAGCCCATGAGCCGCCATACAGAACAAATTATTATACCCAAGTAAAACACGAAGATGCTGCTGGTCGCTTGGCGATGAAACATGGAAGACTGGAACCCGTAGATTCAAATTGGCAATGCACACGTACCCTAAGGGGGTGTTTGGGTAAGCTTTTCAAACTGACTTATTAACTTATTTCAGTTCGGTACCGGAGATAAGTCATTTTGGAGTGTTTGGGTAAAAAAAAAAAA